TGAAGGTCAGTACGTGGGCCATCCAATAAACTCTATCATTAGCGTAGCCGAAGGTCAGTACGTGGGCCATCCAATAAACTCTATCTATAACGTAGCTGAAGGTCAGTACGTGGGCCATCCAATAAACTCTATCAGTAACGTAGATGAAGGTCAGTACGTGGGCCATCCAATAAACTCTATCACTAACCTAGCTGAAGGTCAGTACGTGGGCCATCCAATAAACTCTATCACTAACGTAGCTGAAGGTCAGTACGTGGGCCATCCAATAAACTCTATCACTAACGTATCTATTCCTCAGTACGTGGGCCATCCAATAAACTCTATCACTAACGTAGCTGAAGGTCAGTACGTGGGCCATCCAATAAACTCTATCACTAACGTAGCTGAAGGTCAGTACGTGGGCCATCCAATAAACTCTATCACTAACATAGCTGAAGGTCAGTACGTGGGCCATCCAATAAACTCTATCATTAACGTAGCTGAAGGTCAGTACGTGGGCCATCCAATAAACTCTATCACTAACGTAGCTGAAGGTCAGTACGTGGGCCATCCAATAAACTCTATCATTAGCGTAGCTGAAGGTCAGTACGTGGGCCATCCAATAAACTCTATCACTAACGTAGCTGAAGGTCAGTACGTGGGCCATCCAATAAACTCTATCTATAACGTAGCTGAAGGTCAGTACGTGGGCCATCCAATAAACTCTATCAGTAACGTAGATGAAGGTCAGTACGTGAGCCATCCAATAAACTCTATCATTAGCGTAGCTGACGGTGAGTATGTGGGCCATCCAATAAACTCTATCATTAGCGTAGCTGAAGGTCATAGCTGTAGCTGAAGGTCACTACGTGAGCCATCCAATAAACTCTATCACTAACGTAGCTGAAGGTCAGTACGTGGGCCATCCAATAAACTCTATCACTAACGTAGCTGAAGGTCAGTACGTGGGCCATCCAATAAACTCTATCACTAACGTAGCTGAAGGTCAGTCCGTGGGCCATCCAATAAACTCTATCACTAACGTGGCTGAAGGTCAGTCCGTGGGCCATCCAATAAACTCTATCATAACGTAGCTGAAGGTCCAATAAACTCTATCATAACGTAGCTGAAGGTCAGTACATGGGCCAATAAACTCTATCACTAACGAAGCTGAAGGTCAGTACGTGGGCCATCCAATAAACTCTATCACTAACGTAGCTGAAGGTCAGTACTTGGGCCATCCAATAAACTCTATCACTAACGTAGCTGAAGGTCAGTACGTGGGCCATCCAATAAACTCTATCACTAACGTAGCTGAAGGTCAGTACGTGGGCCATCCAATAAACTCTATCACTAACGTAGCTGAAGGTCAGTACGTGGGCCATCCAATAAACTCTATCACTAACGTAGCTGAAGGTCAGTACGTGGGCCATGCAATAAACTCTAGCACTAACGTAGCTGAAGGTCAGTACGTGGGGCATCCAATAAACTCTATCACTAACGTAGCTGAAGGTCAGTACGTGGGCCATCCAATAAACTCTATCACTAACATAGCTGAAGGTCAGTACGTGGGCCATCCAATAAACTCTATCATTAACGTAGCTGAAGGTCAGTACGTGGGCCATCCAATAAACTCTATCACTAACATATCTGAAGGTCAGTACGTGGGCCATCCAATAAACTCTATCATTAACGTAGCTGAAGGTCAGTACGTGGGCCATCCAATAAACTCTATCAGTAACGTAGCAAAGGTCAGGACGTGGGCCATCCAATAAACTCTATCACTAACGTAGCTGAAGGTCAGGACGTGGGCCATCCAATAAACTCTATCATTAGCGTAGCTGAAGGTCAGTACGTGGGCATCCAATAAACTCTATCACTAACGTAGCTGAAGGTCAGTACGTGGGCCATCCAATAAACTCTATCACTAACGTAGCTGAAGGTCAGTACGTGGGCCATCCAATAAAGTCTATCACTAACGTAGCTGAAGGTCAGTTCGTGGGCCATCCAATAAACTCTATCAATAACGTAGCTGAAGGTCAGTACGTGGGCCATCCAATAAACTCTATCACTTACGTGGGCCATCCAATAAACTCTATCACTAACGTAGCTGAAGGTCAGGGTGGGCCATCCAATAAACTCTGAAGGTCACTAACGTAAACTGAAGGTCAACCTAGCTGAAGGTCAGTACGTGGGCCATCCAATAAACTCTATCACTAACGTAGCTGAAGGTCAGGACGTGAGACGTCCAATAAAGTACATTGTATTGTATGGGCAGTTTTGATACAAGAGAAAGTTCTATAATTGTTATATCAACGACACCATAAATACAATACTTCTATTCTTTGGATGATTATGAAATGTTACTTACCCACACTTACATCCTCTTCAAAAGAAAGATTTCCAAGCGCTTCGGAAATCTGTGTTTCTATTCTAACCGGGTCTTGGTACTGGATCTGAATCAGCCGAGGAAGGACAGGTAATTCTACAGGTGTCTTGTCAATCATTTCAATGTGCGCTTCAAGGATACCATTAGACTTGACGACATCATGACTCTCTACAGTTATATTGCAAGGTGTTCCGGTCAGTGACATGATGTAGGCTTCCTTTGCTTTCAGTCTGTTTCTGTTCAATATTTCAACTTGTTTGGATTGTTTTAACATAAATGTTATCTGTTTATCAATTTCCTGTTTCAACAACATTCCAGAATTTTTTATTCGATGCGTTAATTCAGTGTGGAATCTCTCGTTGTCCTTTATCTGCCGCTGAATGGCAGTTCCTGAAACACACCACTGTCGCCGAATTCTCTGCTTTCCACTGAACGTTGTAGCACCGCCGTCTTGTCAGTAACTGTATCATACAGGTCGATCAGTGTATGGCCATTATGATCAGATAACGTTACACATTTGTCACAAATCAACGTCGAACATGTCTTACAGACGAACTGTATAGTTCGTTCTGATACTAGTCCATGCGTTACCTCCATGTTGAAGAATAGTAACGCCTGTCCGAGCTATACAATCCTAATGTGCACTTAGATATGCAATAGTACTCGGCCGCTATCGTTAGTCTAACTTTGTACCCATCTATATTTCATTTGTTTTTCATGACGTACACAGGACTATGATCTCCTAATGTAACATTATCAGCCCAAACATATATACATATGTATATCCTTTTTGTTTTCCTTCAGCAAAATTGGACAGGAAATGTATTTCACCAGACTTTGATGTCTGTATTTTAACTAGACCTCGAAGTTGCTGAGCATATATTAGAGAGACAGTGTTCCCCTCGGTTTCGTGTAGGCGTAAAAGATTACTTATTCAGGTAAAGATATCGACAACTTTCGGAAAACCATATTGTACTGTAGACATCGAAAGTGATTTTGGTGTGTCATCGTTAAATGTCACCTCTAAGAAATGTTGGTAATGGAATAAAGCCATTCATTTATGAGAATATTTTGACGAATTTTAAGTTCAATCTCATTACACAGTGAATCTACAGATCCGTTGTCGATGTTCAATCTAATCCTGTTTTTAAAACTTTTGAGGACAGAACATGTGATAAAGCATAAAAATAGCGGAGATTGTTTTTCAATTCAACGCTTTATTTCTCACATACGCACAAAACATCTCATCTAACAGAAAGTGATTCCATAGTTATAGTGTTATTTCCGTAAGAAAATCTGAAAGTATTCGACGTTACGAATTAAAGGCTACACATTATTTCATACATGACAGAAACGATGACAACAAACCCTGTTTTATGTTGCATCCGGGATGCCTTTTTTCTCTCTAATTTTTCAACACATGTCTCAAGTGAAAGTTTATCGATGGAACATTGTACATAAGAAATATAGTTTTACAGGAAAGAACACGGCATCGCAAACGAAAGAAATCCCCTCGCTACCATTTATAATGAAGTTTGTTAAAGAAAATATCCCGTGTGTTGCGTCAAACAGTGTACGTATCTTGTTAAGCACACACTAGCAACTTCATCCTCTGATAACTGATGTAATTGTGTCAATATATTATCAACGCACTTATAGTGGTGACCTTGACGTTGACCCTGGCAAATGTAAACACCAACTAGTTTAAGGTATTATAATGTTTGACCAATATCTGAAGTTTGATCAAAAGTGATTGTGAAATTAAGTTGCTAGAGTAATGACAGCGATTTTCTATAAATAGTAACGGTGACCTTTACGTTGATCCTGCCACACCGAAACACTTTCAGGTATTGTGATATTTAAAAAAATATTTGAAGTTTGATAAAAATTGGTTGGGAAATGAATATCTAATTATTATTTGGAGATTTTTCCTAGAATAAAGGAATGTTGTCTACAAACTTTTTCAGAGAGTACATGTTTTAATTTAGTACAAATGTATAGGAGAGAAAAACTTGCTTGTTATAAATGTTCTCAAGCCTGAAATTTTGATGTCCTGCTGACCCTCAGACCTTGGGGGCCGGGACACACCATTTGCATAAAAATTGTTCCTCTTCTCCTAAGGATGCTTTTGACCAAATTTGGTCAAAATCACCCCAGTCGTTCATGACTAGTAGCATTTGGCAGAAAAAATTTAACTGATGACGGACACCGCTGTATCCCTAACTGTTATACTAAAAAAAGCCACTTCCGTGAAACCATGATTAAGCAGTTCAAAATGAGCATCTTGTTGGTCAACTTGAGCTCGCTTTTAGGCACTGTCTATTACATTTCATACAATTATCTAAGATCGCCTAATTGAAATGAATCAAAGCATTTTTCCTCATGGATAAAACTGGACAAGAAATCACTCCAGAAATAATTGCAAAATAAAATATCCTTAACGTCAATATACCGTGAAGTTTCTCCGAGCGGTCGCCTCCAGGGGCTGCTACTATATTGCCATGGGATGCCTTTTACGGTGTACTATTTTCACCTCACACCGGAGTCGTGTATTTTTTAAATTTTTAACCAATCGTTACTTGAGTTTGTCGACTTCCTGTTACCTTTGCGCCTTATTGAAATCTTTGTTTTGACATGCGACAGATTCAGACTTGATTTGATATTAGTTCCGACTAGCATTTTGATTACGGCTAGAAACAAGAGAAGGTAAGAGCAAGTAATTAATGAAGCAAAAAAGGGCTGCCTAGATGACGACCTTGTAAAATACTGGTCATGTTATATTTACATATAGTCTGTTTATTGATACTCGTGCATTTTGACAGCTCTCGCAAGTTGCGGAGCTGTAGTGTTAAGCAGTTGAACACTACTCGCTATTACTGAGTGTACATAGCAAATATGAACATCTTCTACAGGTTATATTATAAAAACTTCAATTCGAGTGTCACCACCCCAAACAAATACATAACAAAAACAGGTTAAGGTGGGGGGGGATGGAATTAATGTTTTAATGAGTGTATTGGTATTATGAGACATGTCCTGTTGGAAAATCTTGTGGATACAGAACAGACCATGTGGATGAGTCCATAATAATTTTTTTTTAATTTGAAGAGTTCCTATACTAAGAGATGTAGTGGGTTTTCAGAATTTGAGCACTTCCAAGAGGTAAAGCACGAGTCCTTGACTCGAAAAACTGATTTCCAACAATCACTAAGACCTTTCGATCGGTGTGCAACATGCATGTGTAAGTCACAATTTCTTTCCAGTTATCATTTGAATACTGACCAGAGAGCAGGTTGCTTATTTCCACCACTTTTAATAGGGCCAAAGATATGAAGTTCATTGACTCTGAAGACCAATACAATCAAGTCAATTTAATGTCTGAATAATTCAGATTATAGAATAGATAGTCCTATTTTGGTAGGTCTAATATAATGTCCAGGCTGAGATTTGAAAGGTTTCTTACTTTCTGATGTTGATTTTTTTAAAAAATGTTTGAAACTTAGAAAATTATGAAAAATGCCATAAAAATGAAATCTAGCTGTTCCAACAGAAGTTGTTAACAGTAACATACATAATTTATCAGAATTCACAAAATTGTTAGACTCTCATGAACTTCCTTATATCCTTTCACATCTCAACTAACACTTCTTGATGCTATATAATGGCAATTTCAGGGATACCTAAATATATATCTAGAATATAAGCTAGCCCCATTATTCATAATATTCATTATGCAATCCAGGTTTCTGACTTATGGAGAAATAGACAGCAAGGTCAGAGGTCAAAATGAGTTTGCGTCCCAGGCCGGTCACAGCGACTGTCACCAAACCAAAATGGATGGAGCCTCAAGTTTTTCGACGTCAATCCCTGTCCTTGGAGTCAGGTGGGTCTACTGCGTCCTTGACCTCTGTTCTTGACCATGACAGCTACATAAGTCCAACTCCAAGTGATGATGAGGACTGGACATATAATAAAGAAAATTGTGGGAAGAGTGATGGGAGTGAAGAGAAGGGAGACGATCAGAAAGACCACTACATAGATAAAAGAACCATTGAAAGGTAAGTAATTGCTGTATATGTCATGGACTTGGACTTGAATGATTGTAAGCTCTTTATTCCAAACATACTAATAATTTTGAGGATTCCTTGATTTTGGCCAGTATGAATATAAGTCACGTCCGGAATCTGAAGGTTTGAAGCATGGACTTATTATTTAAGTCACATTATATATCATACTAGATGTCACATTATATATCATACCAGATGTCACATTCTATCAATCATATGTAAGTTTGTTTTTCATGACATTTAAGAAATATTTGCTTTTTAAAAATTCTGCAAGGTTGTTAAAGCAAAATAATTGACTGTCAAGTTGGCTATGTCCAAGACGTACTGATTCAATCATAATGTAATGTGACATAAGGACGCTTGACAGTTTTCATTTGGAGGGTGTACTATAAAATACAGGTATAGAAAATGTACAATTTCTACAAGATGGGTTCATCAGATTGTGGGCTGGTCAAATCACCGTTTTTTCATGGTCTGTGTCTATCTTGAGATAATTCCTGTTACCATCAATAAGCACTGGATGGATAATTCTCGTATAAAGATTCCTTATTGTCCTGTAATTGTACATTGACCATTACTCATTTTGGACAGATCAGGGAGAGTTGGAATTGCTTACAGCAGCCATCTTTGATTTTGCTGGTAATAGTTTATTAAGGTTTTTTCTCAAGAATATATGGATGGAGCAATCAAGGTTTGAACTTAAGTTTTGAACGTAAAAGCAATAATTTGATGGTAGGTTTGAAAGTTACAAGCAAAATTGAGATCCAACAAGCAAAATTGAGTATTTATTAGGTTTTTTTTACATCTGATCATGCCATGAATAAAGATTGAAGCGGTATTGTGTCAGGAGTCCAAAGTTAATAATACAAGCTTAAACTCAATGTATAGTTCAAAGTTAATAGTGTTTGAAATACATGGTATGGTTCATTAATGAATTTCAAAAATACAGTACTGTTACAGTTTCACCGGTCTCGTTGTTCTCTGTCCATTTATCCACCATCTCATCACCATAGGTCTTGGAACAAAGTCTGATAGTTTTGGTCCCTCAATGTCAGTTCTCATCAACATGCCCATGGTCTCATTAGACAGCCTACACCTCAAGTCACTTTTAATTCTTTTCATAGTGCTGAAACCCCTTTCATATGAAGCATTGGACAAAGGGTAGATACTAGTAAGGTAGATAATTTTGAGAATATTTTTAAATTCCTGCTGATCAACATCCTCCTGGCTAACCCTCTGCCATACAGCCAGGTGATGAATGCCTCTAAATTGGTTCATATTCCTGATCACATACAGCTTTAGTTCAAGCCATTCCCTTAATGCAGCAACACAATCACAGCCAGCAGGATCCAGAAGAGGACGGAAGTGGTCATAGATTACTCAGACATCCTCAGCACCATACTGATGAATATGTTCTTACCAATGAAGATGTATCGATGCTGTGTACTCTACACAACTCATACCATATCATACAAACGTTTTCGTTCCCCTTCTCGTCGCTGTTTAGTTTATAACCTATGTTTACATGAAGTTCTTGTGTCCACTTTTTCAGTGTTTTGAACTGACACATGATTCCGTGCTCTGATGTTTTGATTATTTAGGGGGGATTTTCAGGTAATCCACCATCACTTCTGGCGACATCATGGCGGTCGCTTGCATTTGCACCGCCTGCTTCTGATTCTTGTTTAAAATAGTCGGTTATTTTAGGCCTAGATGAGGACATTGATGTGTGAAATAGGCCGACTACCCTCCAACTTGCAGCCTGGGCAACCTTGACCATTGACACACAACTCAGACTTTATTTGTTAAGCAATTAGAATAGTGCTACAGTCATACCAGGATATTACCTTCTCCAACACACTGTGACCGAGTGTCAAACTAACGGGAAGTGAGCGTGACACATTTACGTATTACGAAAACTTGAATTGAGGATGCAAATATTTTTATGCGAATCAGACCAGGAATAAAATTATTTTGTAAGTGCACTTGTATATGGACATCTGAAACAGCCATAACTAGATAACATGAATTCTATTTTTAGAATTCCACATTAAGAGGCAGCTGCCCTATCGTTATCAGCTAGTCTGTCGGTGCCCTATCGTTATCAGCTAGTCTGTCGGTGCCCTATCGTTATCAGCTAGTCTGTCGGTGCCCTATCGTTATCAGCTAGTCTGTCGGTGCCCTATCGTTATCAGCTAGTCTGTCGGTCTGTTTGTCCATTTTTGCTTTCCTCACAATAACTTGTGTTTTTGTTGTTGTATAATCATCAAATTTGGTATGTGGCTTTTTATTCATTATACCTTGCATGGGTTCAATAACCAGTGAATTCCCTCAATATTTGCAAGTAATGGGATTTGGAATGACGAAAACTGATAACTTTATTACCATATTTTCCAGTCTATAAACCGCACAAGAGTATTTTTCCAGTCTATAAACCGCACTCGAGTATAAGCTATAAAATATTTAACTCGATGATACCTTTAAAAAAATTTACAACCACCATATGAACATTGTAACTGAACACTTCAATTTATGAACAGTATCGCTGTATCATTTTTGTATGTATATAATCTATAGTTATCTTTGTTCCTTTTATTTTGTATAGCGTAACGATCTGTATTGTTATCAACACGTGATCAAGACAATGCGTTATTACGTCACGACTGAACCGTAATTTTAACCTTAGCTATGCCAATACTTGTACCGTTGTTCTGAGGACGGCTAATCTAGCTAGTCGAAACATGTCAACCAAATAAAACTACCGATCACAGAATCCTTGGTGTTGATGCTCCATCCTTTATTAAGTAAATATTTATCTTTGTTTGGGGCCTTCAATGATTGCCAACACACAGTTAGGGTCTGGCTTATGTACACTATTACAACCTCTCCACCAGTGTCTACTGCTAAATATTAAAGAAGGTTATTGCATGATAAAGTTCCTATAATTCTGTAAAACTTCAAAGCTGCGGACATCATAAACAAACACGGCGACCATTCTAGAATTTGACCTCTTTACCTAATGACACAAAGCATATCCATGTGTTAGCAGGCATGGTGTGGCCCATAGAGGGATTTTCCATTAATTTTCATTAATCGGTTAACATTTACGTAAATGTGTACATTATTGAAAAATAATTGAGGATGAAATCCCTTTCAACAGTTTTAGTAATAGTATATACATGTATAAGATTATTTTTGTTGCTCCCCTTGGAGGCCTCAACCTATTGATGCCAGGATGCAATTGTCTACTGGAAACATCTTCTATGTTTTCTTGCACGTACTGTTGTGAAGAAACCACACAAGTTGAGAATATATTACTTTTTCGTATCTACGGAAATGTTATTCGATTGCAATCTTCAAATCATTTAGTATAGAATTGCAATTGGTTCTGCGCAATTTGTTTCAGTCACAAACAAGTGTTACTGGTAAAATCCAGTTTATGACATCTTGTACATTTTTTTCCCTATCCTGCCAATTCTTTTGGTTTCATCCACATATAAGCTGTATACCCGACTCACGAGGAAAAAAAGTCACAGCTAATAGGCCGGAAAATACAGTACTTTCCATGTGATAACTAGCGTACTTGTAGTCAGATGTTCTCCAAATACGGTATATAGCTTCATATTGCATGGGGTTTTCAATGCTGAAAATTGACCATTTTATTACTTTTTGCACAATCACTTCAGTATTTGCTTTTGGATCTTCACCAAATTTGATGCATGGGTTTATGAGCATGAGACATAGCATGGATCGTATGACTATTGGAATCTGTTAACATCTGCAAGTGTTACTGGACTTTGAATGCTGGTTCAAATGATCATCATGATATCCCCCACAAGTATTGTTGATTTTGACGCAGATTGAAAAGTAAATCCAAAATGACGACTGAAACAATTTTTACTTCTCCTCAAGGCGTTTGACTTCTTATTTGCTATACATTTTTCTTATGGAGTCCCAAACAATTATTGATATTTCTCATGCAGATCGGAAAATCCATAATGGCTACTGTGTCTTCTGATTGGCGGAGACATTTTAAAATTTATCTCAACAATGGAGGGTGTAATGGATTCCTAACTTGGTACAAAATTATCCTTAATATGTCACAATCATGCAATGCCACTTTTCATGCTGTGCTGACATATGTCTGTGATATAAAAACCTCTGATTTTGATAAACGACTATAATATCTTTATGAAATATAGAATACACTAACATTAAAGTTGATAAGAGACATATTTGTGTAACAATTCAGGAACTAAACAGTCATCTTCATCAGATGTAAGACCAGTGTTAAGCATATCAGCATTGACATATACAGAGTTAAAGATGGTAAAGAATCATCACAAAGGTCTTTAAGATGGAAAACAGTGTGACAAAATTATGTTAAAATCGTAAACACATCAATATTTTCCATACTTAATTTAGGAAGTAACACTACTATCCGGAGAAAGTCAATTCAACTACAATTTGTTCTAAACTTGGTCATAGATGTGTGAAAGTCTATGGACCCATTTAATTTCATTGTGGTGTAGCAAGAACAACTGCTTGAGAAGGGTGTTTTTTCTATTAACTTTTTGTTACTGTCCCAGTTCTAATATTTAGATATGTCTGTTTTCTCTATTAAATTCTACTACTAAGTTAAATATGTCTGTTTCATAAAATACCTAAATTATGTAAATTCTACTACTAAGTTAAATATGTCTGTTTCATAAAATACCTAAATTATAGAATAGTATTGAAATATATCTTTGATATGATTGGGAAGAATAGACATTCTAAAGCCAAAATCAAAATATTGTCATGACTAGATATTTAGAGGACCTTGAGAAATTGATGTTGTTTTAACTCATCATTTGCCTCTGAAGTAGATAATCGCTGTCATATTTGTATGTGTGTGCCAAATATTTTGAATTTGCCGTTGTGTTTTCGTATATGTTGTGATTGTTATTTGGTACATCATGTATGTAAAAATGATGTCCTAAAGATAATTTGTCTTTTAAGAGAAAACACTGTTGGAATAAGAATAAACTTAAACTAATTAATTCATTTGATTAGTTGAAATATTTTATCGTTAAGTATAAGGGAAAAAAACATTTAATTTTGAAATTAAGAAAATTGAAAAAAGGCTCCAGAGGGAGTCGAACCCTCGACCTCCAGTTTACTAGACTGGCGCTCTAACCAACTGAGCTATGGAGCCTTGTGATCTGTGGGCTGTAGATATGTGTAAGTCTTCTTTACACAACACTGAGTGTATTGATTATCTTTTGTCTGTGCAAAAGGCTGATGTCTCTAGATGTACATTATGTAAATATCACTGATCACAAATGTTCTATGTTATATAAATAGAGGTAATATATGGGAAACTCAGACTACACTTAATATGGAATATATTGTATTCAGTAAATTGATAGGGAGAAATACATGTAAGAATCATAGAAATTTGGTTTCAGAAAAAAACTTGTGTGAAAGGCCAAGCTAAGTGAGCTTTTGCCATGGTGCAGTGTCTTTTGTCTGTCTGTCCGGCAAGCATCAGCTTTTCCATTTGAACACATTCTTCTCAAAAATAAACGGACAAGATGTCATAGTATCTGGCTGATGGGTTGCTGGGATAAAGCCTGACGAAGTTTGCAAAGGCAAATGACTTTGAACCTTATTCAAGGTCACAGAGGTCATATGTGTTAAAATTTTAAAAACAAATTCTTCTGGCTAACCAGAAGGCTCTGAAGCATGGTATTTGGATGATTTGTTCTTGGGATGAAGCCTAATAAATTTTGCAAAAAGAAATGACTATGATTTATTAGCTCACCCAAAGTGCCAAGTGAGCTTATGCCATAGCGCTTCGTCTGCCGTCTGTCGTCCGTCCGTTCTGCGTCCGTCAACTTTTCATATAAACTTCTTCTTCTGAAATACCGAAAGGTGTAGATTTATTATATTTAGCTGGAAGGTTCCTCTTATGAAGCCCAACAAAGTTTGGGAAAAGAAATTACCTCGACCCATATTCAAGGTCACACAAGTCAAATGTGTTAAAACCTTTAAACGACTTCTTTCAAAATACTGAAAGGCCTAGAATGATTATATTTGGCTGAAAGGTTTCTTTGCTAAAGCCCAACAAAGTTTGCCAAAAGAAATGACATTGACCCATATTCAAGGTCACAGAGGTCAAATGTGTTAAAACCTTTAAATGACTTCTTCGAAAATACTGGAAGGTCTAGAATCATTATATTTGGCTGGAAGATTCCTTTCTTAAAGCCCAACAATGATTGCAAAAAGAAATGACATTGACCCTTATTCAAGGTCACAGAGGTCAAAGGTGTTAAAACCTTCAAATGACTTCTTCCAAAATACCAGTAGGCCTAGAATGATTATATTTGGCTGAAAGGTTTCTTTGCTAAAGCCCAACGAAGTTTGCCAAAAGAAATGACATTGACCTTTATTCAAGGTCTCAGAGGTTAAATGTGTTAATACCTTTAAATGACTTCTTCCAAAATACCAGAAGGCCTAGTATCAATATATTTGGCTGGAAGGTTCCAATGATAAAGCCCAACAATGATTGCAAAAAGAAATGACCTTGACCCATATTCAAGGTCACAGAGGTCAAATGTGTTAAAACCTTTAAACGACTTCTCCCTAAATACCCGAAGGCCTAGAATCATTATATTTGGCTGGAAGGTTCCTTTATAAAGCTTAGCAACGATTGCAAAAAGAAATGACATTGACCCTTATTCAAGGTCACACAGGTCAAATGTGTTAAAACCTTGAAACGACTTCTTTCAAAATACCAGAAGGCCTAGAATGATTATATTTGGCTGGAAGGTTTCTTTGCTAAAGCCCAACAAAGTTTGCCAAAAGAAATGACATTGACCTTTATTCAAGGTCTCAGAGGTCAAATGTGTTAAAACGTTTAAACGACTTCTTCGAAAATACCAGAAGGCCTAGAATCATTATATTTGGCTTGAAGGTTCCTTTGATAAAGCCCAACAAGGATTGCGAAAAGAAATGACCTTGACCCATATTCAAGGTCACAGAGGTCAAATGTGTTAAAACCTTTAAATGACTTCTCCCTAAATACCGGAAGGCCTAGAATCATTATATTAGGCTACTATATTCCTTGTATGGTGTCCTAAAAAGTTGCTAAAAGAAATTACCTTGACCAGTCTTCAAAGTTACAGGGGTCAAATGTGTTAAAATGTTTAAACAATTTTTTATGAAATATTTGGCCAGTATGTTCCTTTAATGAAGTCCAAGAAAGTTTGTAAAAAGAAATGACCTTGCCCCATATTCAAGGTCACAGGGTCAAATGTGTTACACCTTTAAATTACATTTTTTGATGATCTAAAACATCTAGCTTAGTGATAAAATAGGTTCTCAAGGATGCCCGGTTATATTTGAGAACAGAAATGACCTTGACTCATATTCAAGGTCACAACAGTCAAATGTGCTAAACCTTTGAACAACTTCTGATTAAGCTGAAGGCTTAGGAGCCTAATGGACCTTAATGGTGCCCACATAGTGTGTGAAAAAATAGATTGACCCATAATGATATTTAAGGTCATTGGGGTTAGATTTGGTAAAATAGTTAATCAACTTCTTCTGATTAACCAAAAATTTATCATATTTGGCCATTAACGGCTTATATACAAATGACTTATTTTGGACTACTAAGGGACAGAACCCATATGGAGTAATTTGTCATATTGCTTTAAGCATCTACTGTGGAACATATGCACAGATATTGTACAGTTGGTCATAAAGATCCAGGTGAGCGATACTGGCCCTCTGGGCCTCTTGTTCAAAGTCACAGGGATCAAATTTGGTAAAACATTAAATCAATATCTACTGACAATCCAAAAGTCGCATGACATTTGACTAATAGACTCTTAAGATGAAGCCCAACAAAGTTTGCAAAAAAAAAAAATGACCTTGACCCATGTACATGGTCACAGGGATGACATATTGTAAAACCTTACAACAATTACTTCTGAATAGCCAAAAGCCACAGAATCATGGTATTTGTTTGACACGTTCCTATGATGAAAACTAACAATGTTGTGAAAAGAAATGACCTTGAACCGTATTCATTGATACACATATGGAAATTTTAATGTTTTGGTCAAATTTCCAGGAAATTGGCAAAGTATGATGAAAGTACCTACACAGAAGTGACAGACAGTGTTAACTCCCCGGAGGCAAAATTATCTCCATGGGAAAAATGGCTCATCTCAAAGACAAAATCAGAACGTAAGTCACGTAAGCAGAAGTCAGTGGAAAAGAAAGAACAAAAACAGAAACTAGAGGAGGAAAAACAATTAAAAGAAAAGAACAAAGAGAAAGTAGAAGAAAATCGTAGAAAATGGTTAGCAGAAAAACAAGAAAGGGCAAAAATACGCAAAAAATTGGACCAGCAGCAAGCAAAAACTGAGGAAAGACTAAAAGCTGAAAACGAGAGAAACATTGCTGAGAAAGCAGAACGAGAGTTTAAAAGGTGGAAGGCAGAGAAAAACAAGGCCTTGCGAGAAAAAGAAAGAAAAGAACAACAGAAAAGCAAGGAGAAAGAGATGGAACAGGCAGAGAAACAAAGGAAAGCAGAGGAAAAATACAAGGAGTGGTGTCAAAAGGCCGCAAACAGACCAAAATCTGTCCCTAACAGCTTTGGCTACACTTCGGGTAAACTCACAGGTAAGTGATTCAGACATCCTTTAGTGAGACTCAAAGGTGAGTGATATTTGATGATATGACTCAAAAATTAGTAGTAGGTCAGGTAAATTTAAGGTAAACTCAGTGAGTAGAAAAATTTAAGTTAAGATTGCCAACCTGAATATTTTGGAACACTCACTTCAGGTTGATAATATCAAGTTGTTACAACACAATCAGTATAAGATTAGAGTGTGACGTTTTGATGACTACATGGTCATTGAAATGTCACACTCCAATCTTCTACTTGTTGTGTTCTATTCTGCTGTGACCCTGACAGTTACTATAAAACTAGGTATTTGCGTGGTTACTCTAAAATAAGATATTTACGTGGGATTCAGATTTCGTGAATAAGCAAAGGCACAAGTACATAACATATGTCAAGTAACCTGCTGAACTTGCATATAATTATATATGTAACTTAAGTAATTAATACAATGTTACAAGTGAGGAGTTTGTTAGGTAAGCTTCAGTTAAACTCACAGGTAAATACTGGTTAGTATGTAGTATGACTGCTAAACTCAGAGTATAGGTATTAGATCAGACAATATATATTATATAGTTTTGGTACCTGCTCTTCAATGATGAAACTATGACATTGCTAAAATTGAATATTCTGATTTTGACACCAATGGTGTTGTGTGATATAAACTATGATATCTCAGTATACTTTGATAGGCTGTCAGGACATAGTTGTTCAGGACACAGTTGTTCAAATGATGGTTACAGATAACCAGTGGTTAGTGAAAATTATGAAACATTGATGAAACAAGATATGAAGCATTATTTATTATTTCATAACTTTAGATTTGTCAAGATGGCCAGATTGATATATGGCCAAGAATTTAATGTCAAGGAATTTGTGATACACCCAAATTACAAAATGTCAATATTTTCAGAGTGAATTGAAACATTATATGCCTACTGCATATTATTGTGCTATGATATGGAAGACTTTTCTCAAAATGAAAAGATAATCTCTTTCTTCAAAGAAGAGAAAAATCATTTCAAAATTGCTGAAAATTCATGGTGTAACATGGACATGATAAACTTTTTAACCCTTCAAATTACATTTCTTTGCCAGAAACTGAAATGATTTGAGCAAATATGAAAAATATGTGCATTAACTTTCATAATGATTTATGAATATTAAGTCAGTTGAATAATACAACATCATCAAATTTGGGTGTAACATTGACAACACAAAATGCCAACTTTCATGAATAACTAGCTTGGTGGCATAATGTTCAGCTACGGTATGTTCATTTTAGGATGATGTCCAAAAGACAAAAGCACACATTTTCCATAAAGTGAAAAGAAAGATGAGATGAGAAAAAGAAGATAAATTAAAAAGACAGAAGTATATGTGTATAGACAAACAGACGGATAGAGATCAGCACAATATTTATATGAATTTATACAGACAGATTATTCATTGATATTTTTAATGCTACCTGGCATGTATATGTCTGAAGGGCTCAAGCTCTTGTAAAAGCAGAGGGAAAAATATTAAATAAATAGTGACTGGTCCTTGGCAGGAACACTGGACTGTCTCAGAGCTGAATTTAATACTCTTGAACTACAGCCTTAAGTACAAAGAACAAAAAAATCTGTAGTGTCCATTTCATTTTATTTTTCTTTTAATCTTGATTTTCTTGATCATGACTTGTCCATATCCAAGCTCTTCTACAGATCTGTAAAAATAAAAAGTTGTAGATCTATATAACTTTTTGTTGTACAAGATAACTTTGATGAAGTTTAGTATTTAGAATAAATCACATTGGGTAACAGTGGACATGAAGAAAAAAAATGATTGTTTTTCAATATGGTTACGTTTCATGGTCTTTTTCTCTCACCTAAATAACGTGATAAAAACAATTGCCATATGATGTCCCCTAGAATGTTCTTAATCATGTGATATATTGCTTATTTTTATCAAGTAAACACATGCAATGTAATCTTTGCTAATTGTGCTGTCTAAACCCCAAAAATAAGGGCGTAACACCTACCCAGCTTCGTCAGCATTGGCCCCCTTCCACGGCCATCATTTAAAACCACTGGAATGAGACTATCACATGAGTCGACAATCGTTCTGGTTGTCACAAAAGGTGGTTAATCGGTGTCGATGCCGTAAAGATTTGACACTGAAGCATTGCCACAATGAGAATTTCCCTTTGCGTTATTAGCCAATGGAAGTCAGCGGTATTCTTGGCAAACATTTCGGGGTCAAAATCTGCCAATATTGACATGACTGTCAACAGCGGTTATCAAAATATAAAAATTGAAGCCAATGTATGGGCGCAACAATGTTGACACAAAATGTTACATCCAAATTGATTTATAATCCCTTTAATTACTAAAATTCTATTTCTATACTACAAATTTAGTTATGAATTAAAATTTTCTTGTACATGTTTGCCAAATTGACTGTAGAGGAAACTGATAAAACGATTTAGAGGGAGAAACCATTATTTATTATAGTCAGACAGGAAGGACATGGTCACTTTTGTTCCGATCTCTGACGTATACATTACTTATTTGCTGGAAACTTAATTCAATTTGAACAGTTTTCCTATTTTGATTATCCCCCCAAAAGAAGTAAAACACAAAACACTGAACAAACATTCTAATATGCTTTTAATTCTGAAGTTATTAACACATTTTATGGGTGTAACTGAATTTCCTTGACTTTAAATTCTTGGCCGTATTTTAAAGTGCTAGTTTTGCCTTTATTGTTTTTTTTTTTTTTTTTCAGTGGCAACAATTTGAAATTTTTACTTACCTCAGGTTAACTTTAATCACCTTTGAGTAACCATGGTCTGATGTACTTAATCTGTATGCATAGTTACGGTAGGATTCTGGTCCAATGTATGTAACACCATAAAATGTTTTTATATAAACCCTTCTTTAAGCTAAATCAACTAAAGCCAAGTCAGGTAATCGGATGGACGTTAACTTTTGTTTTTCATTCCGTTGTCTATTTAGTGATATATTTTAAAACTGAAGTCCTGATAGTGAAAATGTCTGTTTCTGTCAGGATAAATGATATGTATGTTGAATCATATTTTTTTGTGAGTCTTAATTTTTGTGATTTTTAAAAAAAGATACTATTAGGTGGACATTTAATTTCATTGATTGATATATATGTGAATTGATGGATTAAGATTATCCACAAAATCAATGAAAATAAATTCCCCACAAAATGAATGATTTCACAGTACACAAATTTTGTGTTTCCTTTCACCCATCATTAAAGATTGTCTCCATGACAACGTGATATGTATGATGTCTTTCATTACTAAAAGACAATTCTTTAATCTATCACGGTACATATTGTATATAATGATGGGTGAGAGGAAACACAAAACCTGGTTCTATTTAGATCACACCTCCTCTTCTCATTTTAGAGGAGGAAATCAACATCATAAGAAAGTCTGATATGCTGTAAATGGAGTAATGACTGCATGGTCTCAATAGATTGCCTTTAAAACTTTCATTCGGAAGTGTTTAATCTACTGTGGAGGTGTGACAAATTCCTACCGACCCATTTTAATTTTCAAATAGTTGTACATCTACAAAGAAATTGAAAAATTATTAGGAAATCTATCTATTATAGAATTGTAGTAAAAGTTTGTTTTCATTTAAACATCACTCATTAAGCTAGTAATATAAACAAATGATTTATTCTAATTAAATTAAATACTTTATATTCATTTTGTCACTTTACCAGATAGAATAAGGTCTTTTTGAAATACTTTGATTACTGAGGTAGAGATATACCCAGATGATAAATCTAGGAAAATGTTTGTTTTACCAAAGTTTAATTAAAATATGTCTCAAAAAATGAATAATATATGTTTTGCTTAACATCACATGCCAGTAAAAAAATAGGGCAGGTTGATTGGGAAACTTGAAACTTGTCAAAAACATTTAAGGCTCAAATATATTGAGTTGGAAATGGGCATCACAGGGAAAATAGCAAAATAATGAAATAAAGTTGTAATGGAAAGTTTTTAACAATTTTGTGTACACATAATGTAACAGGTGCTTGTGTTGTTGATAAGTGGATTGAAGTGGTTAAAAATTTTTAAAACACAACAAAAGGCATATACAGGAGTACTTTACCATGAAGATATTTTGATTTCAGTCCTAAATAACACACAGATATCGGATGTTGGTGCTGAATATCTACTTTATTGCTACAGATTTGTGCACAACAGGAGTTTTGTAAAAACGTTTTGTACATGTAACGTTATTAAATATATATATAAAAAAAAAAAATATCCCTGTGTAAAAATATTGAAGAAATACACCATCAATTAATTTTAAACTTCAGCTATAACATATCATTCATGCCAACAGTACAACATTTCCTTGAAGAATTGGCAAATCTAATGGAAGTTTATACACATGTCTTTCAGTACACTGACCAAATGCTTTAATTTTGGTATTTAGTTAAAGAATAGCCACAAGGAATAAATTTGAAACCCAAAAACTGGCTGAACTTTGAAAATGGTATTCTAATTTCTTCTGTTTGTTCAGTATTATGATGCATAATATAGACAGAAAATTGTTACAATAACTGTTATAACTTGGTCAGTATGCAGAGCCATTTACATAGACTGGATGCCTTCTTTCTTTTGTAGCCATAATGTGCATTCTTTCTTATAAAAATAAATTCAGCTCTTCAAATATGTTTTGAAGTGCTGCCATCACATTGATGATAGATATATTGAGATCGCAGTATTTTCCTTCACATGAAATGTATTTGAGTCAGCCAGCGGCTATTGCAGTAGTTTATACTCATTATAGAGTTGTACAATCTATTGAAATTCTATTCTGTTTCCTCTTGTCCTTGACCCTGTTCAGTTTGTTGTGTAGTTTCCATTTGACCTTGACCTTCCATTTGATTTTGGCTTTCCTCCATCAAGGGAAGAGAACTCTGTAGAGTTTCAATGTCACTGGGATTTTCTTTGTAATATGCAGCAACTTTTTGTTTCTGAGAAAGAAAAAGATACACCAAAAGTTTCAGTGTTTTTGAAATTTGAATTCAGAATGTGAAAATGAAAAAAATATTGTAGATTGTGAGACTTGTTTGAGTTCAAACATTTTACATCTTTTTAAGTGTGGGAAAGATTAACCATAAAAGTTAAAGTGTGGGAAAGATTAACCATAAAAGTTAAAGTTTAAAGTTAGGTCAAAGAGATTATCAAGTATATGGAGTTTGAAATACTAAGTCTATGAGAGATTAATGCAAGTTTGCATTCAGCTTTGGATAGACCCAAATAGTGGGTGATGATGAGACTTGTAGTCATCTTCAACGGTAAACCTTTTAGTTGGTATAAAGATAGCTTACTGCATCTTTGAATTTTACATCGGCACCGTTCTCTGTGAGTATTTGGGCAAGATCTTCTGACAAAGCCATCGCATAGTGTAGAGGCGTGCGATACATCTGAAAAGTAGGAAAGAAGTAACATTAATATAGAACTCAGTTTGGTGAGGTAAACACTGTCAGTCATTCCTTTTATGGATAAACATTTTTAGTCACACTGCACAAGATCTTCTGTCTGTTGTGGCTGCCACATGGTCTTAGTATCCCTGATGTGGATATCAATTTCAGGTTTCAAGATTTGGAAAGTTTATGTTTGCAATAAAAAACTTGTATGGAGTAATATAGAAATCTAAAAGGCAAGTGGTATAATTCCCACACACCTCTGTTTACAGTTGAGAATACGTATGATACATTCAATTATTTCTCAGTTTTAGTGTCAGCTGTGTTAAATTTTCCACTAACATTATCAGCAGTTTTGGGAGTTTCTCACTTACATTATCTCTAGCCTTGAGAGTCTCGGGGAAATTTGAAATAAGGTACTGGACAGCATCTGATTGGTTGGCGAGTATTGCTACGTGTAAGGGACCCCGCCCACTTCTGTCTCGCGCTGTTGCGAGGCTTCTTCGTTCGAGTGCTTGTTGTAAATTACGTACAACACCAGTCTGGGCTGTTTTCAGCACTGTGGCCATTCTCTTCTGTATCAACAACAATGAGAATATTTGAATAGTGATAATTGGTTCATTGGTTTGTGTTTAAGTCAGATTTAACAGCTGATAACAGATTATACTTAAGTTACACAATCCTATCTTTGCCCATGACCATTTACCAGCTCTGAAGATCAGCGGAGTAAAAATGTATGAAACTATTTTGTGGATATTTGTTAGTGATAGAATTATTTCTGTAATAAATATGTATTTTTATAGCTGCAGTGTATATTTTAGTGGAAGTTAGCTATAGATTTTCAGCTAAACGTGGGTTATTTTGAACTAAAAGTTCAGCAATCAGGTTTGCATATACTTAATATTAATTAATGGTATTTTATTTATACATCTCAAGTTATTGGCACAGTCCCTCTCTAGTATTATTTTTATTTACTTTAAATACATATCAGTTTTATTTCTAGATTTTACCTGAAAGTCTGGCACTGAGTTGATAAACCTTACGATGCCCTCTGATGGTTCTTTGGTCTTGACATTTTGTAACACAACCTCCCATTGGTCATACCCATCCAGCAGGAGCTTCTCTAGTTCTGCAAACTTCTCATTCTCAACCAGACTTTGTACAAACTTATCTGAAATACAAAATGTATTTTGGATCATGAACATATCAAAACTGAAAAAGTATGTGTCAGTTTTATGACAATAATTAGTAAGCCAGCTCTGTGGTGTCTGATGTACATGTAGTAGCAACAATCATTGATAAACGAAAACAATCTGGGTTACATGGTTTTTTCCAAGTTATAAAATTTTCAGATGATTTAGTATACAGCTGTTGTCATACCTATAGTATCCACATGATCCTGAAAACCTTTGTCCATAGCTACCTCCCGGGGAGTTTGGTTATCTCCATTTCTCTCTGCCAAACTGTATCCCATGTTCAGCACTGACAATAGGGCTGAATCTGAAAGAGATTGCTGAGGAAATATAATTGAAGTCAAAGCATGTAGGGTCTATATAGTCTATTACACCTTCCCTCCAATTTTCTTCCTTCTTATCCTTATTTCATTACGTTTTCAGTTTCCACATAATTTCCAACCATTGCACCTCTGTGCTTTCTCCATCCCTCAAACCTTCACCTCTTCTTTATTGTTGAATATTTTTGCTGATAAGGTCTCTCCTCCATCTCCTTCCCCATTACCATCACTACGATCAGCTCCCTTACACTTGTTGGTGTATCCCCAGGTTTCTGTCCAGTTTGCCCCTATTCCCACCGTGCCACCCCTTCAGTCTCTCCACGCCCATTCTCCGGAGGTTACAATCACTTTAGCTCTGAGCATTGAGAATACTCCACCCCTATCATTACCTGGCATAAGGGCCAGTCTGTGTAACTCTGTCTGTCCTGTAAAGTCCTTCTCTCTGCCTCGTTCTGCATCTTCCTCACCCTCTTCTTCCTTTAAAGTCTCCAGGTTAGGTCTCTGTGCCAGGGCAGCTTCCTTTGCTCTTAAGAAAAAAATTGGATATGATCATGCTTTGTTGAGTAAAGTACGAGATATCTTAATTGACATTTTAATGAAAACATATGATTGAGATGTGAATGTTTTGCAATATGAAGGATACAAAAGAAGAGCTATCCAGGAACTAAACAGTAGTAAAGTATTTAAAACATGTCATTCATAATTCATGTTGTTTCACTTTATGACCTCAGTCTTTCGTAGTGACTTCTGTTTCTTTATTGTATAACTTCCTTTACCCACACACTCACTTCCTCTGTAAGTCCTCCTGTTCTCTCTTCCTTCGTTCCTCTTCCTCTTTTTCTGCCTTCTCCCTTGCCTCTGCCTCCATCTGTCTTTGTTCTGCCAGTCGCTTTTCCTTCCTTTGCTGAGCCCTGACCATCTCTGCCTCCTCTTCATCCAACTGTTTGGCTTCGGCCAGTTGCTGTAAAGATCCCGTTATGTCTCTCATGATCAAAGTATGTAGGTTGACCAATTGTTACGATGACTTTTAATCAAAATATAGATAGTTGTGGCAGTCTTATTGGACATGATAGTAAAAGCAAATTCCTTGTTCTTGGTAGAGTTGTAGTGCATATTACTAATAACAATATATATTTGTATAAAACAACTGACGAAGGAAGACAATACTTGACTTGTGCCATGTGCGGGCCACGAACTCAAGACCTACGGCACCAAATTGCAGACCAAGAAATTATATAACTTTCTGACCATCATACCACCAAGACAATCTTCAAAAAGGAGGTTTGGAAGTTGTATTGATAGACTGCTAGACATTCTGTCCATATATATGTGTCCTTCACTTAACCCAGGCTACCAACATATGACCTCTTAATCAAAATCAAAGGGTAGGCTTATTAGTGAATTAGTATTTGTTAGTTTTACAAACTGCAGACATATGGAAGGGATTGATACACTTTTTTATTCTCCTTTTTGTCCAGTGAATAAGATCTTGGATGATGTAACAAAACTGCATTACTCCAAAGAGCCCAAATTGTATAGATACTGCCCAGAAAAATGTCTCAACATTTTATGAAATACATGTTCATAAATGTAACCATATTTTCATCTCGTCTTCAGTTCAGCCAGCTTTCTATGGTGAGTATAAAACTAAAATGTATACCAGTTATATCTATTGTAGTGATAGTCTTGCTAGAATGATATACAAGTTGGTTTGTTAAGTACTGGAAAACAGCTTTGGACGAAGCCACCACTTTTGTTTGGGGTTCAGAATGTTTCGTGTTGAGTTTATGTGATTCTGTGTGAATATCAGTGAGGATAAGTTGATTTGCTGGCTACTGAGGTAGAGGGAAGCTGTATAACCACCTGTTTGCTTTTTGTTTCTGTTTTTACTGAGAATTTTCTGACATGAAATAATTGACATAATTTTTTCATGTTTAAAAGGGACAAGTTTAATCTGTATTATTAACATACCTCTGCGAGAGAAAACCACAATACCCGGTGTCATCATATTTGTATCCCCCATCATAAATGTATCCCCTCTGTAGGATTTGTATCTCCCTCAACATCTTTTTACATTAACATCATACAAGATTAATTTGAGGAAGACAATCACTAGTTATAGGTAAGTGCAGGTGTCATGGTGACATAAGTAGATAATTTGTTAATGACACTGATGTATTATATATATATAGGGGGATACATATATAATGGCCGTCATAAACATATCCCCCTGATATATCAGATAATTGTCCCCTAGATACTATTCTGATGGCCGTCATAAATGTATCCCCCTGATATATGAGATAATTACTGTTATCCCTATTTACTATACTTTATGCCTTATTTCATCATTGCTATTAACTAATGTATGTATAATTCTATATAGAATAAACTTTCTCCTAGAGTCACAGGATAATATTTTCTGATTGTTCCATTTTTTCAATCACCTGAAGAGCTGCCAAACAGCAAGATTCATTGATATTCTGGATCAGTATTCTAACATTCCAAGCTCTCATCCCCTGCCCCTGCAAGCTTATCTATTAAGTGTATATCATTGTAACCTTTAAATTTTGAAATAATATCTTATAGGTTTCCGTACAGGTATGTAATTACCTACACTACATGTACACTAGTAGTTATAGTCTACTAATATTGACTATATAAATACAACTAGGTAATCCCTGCCCCACCTGGGTACTGCCTACAGATGTTATATAATACCTGACCAGGAGTAATCAGTTAATTGGACTCCTGTACAGGTACCCTTGGAGTGGCGAGCTGACTGACCATGGCCAACAACTGAAGTATAAACAGCAAATCTATAAAACAGATAAAGTTATAGTATTTTTCTCAAGTGGGATACAAATACTTAGGGGGGATACTTTTTGTGTCGCCTGCAGAGCTGGTGGACACTTAGGGATCACTTTGTCCTTCGTCACGCGTTGTCGTCGGCAGCGTCGTCGTCCGTACGAAAGCTTTCCAGCCTTTTTTCGGTAATGCTTAGAGTTGTCAAAATGAAATTTGGCATATGGCTTTTTGTTGCATGGGTACAGATTAAGTTTAATTCCCAGCTGTCTGTGACCCTTTTTGGCAGAGTTATGCCCCTTTCAACCTAGAAAATTTCCTGGGAATATTGTTTTCTGGACTTTTTTGGCTTATGCTTTGAGTTATCGAAATGAAATTTGGTATATGGCTTCTTGTTGCAAGTAACAGATTAAGTTTGATTTCCGGCTGTCTGTGACCCTTTTTGGCAGAGTTATGCCCCTTTCAACTTAGAAAAATTCTCAGGAATATTGCTTTGCGCAGTTTTCCCTTTATGCTTCAAGTTATAGAAGTGAAATTTGGTATTACAACTTTATGGTTGATCATTGCACATCCAGTTGAATTTCTGGGTGACCGTGACACTTTATGCAGGCGATACATACAGTTCCGAGGAACTCTTGTTTGATGGGTAAAAAGTACTTTTATGATAGGGGATACAAATATGATGAAATATGATGGAGGGAAAAGAGTTTGGGTACTTTAATGATAGGGGATACAAATATGAAATGACATTGGGTAAACCTATATGTTAGAGCAGGTGATCTCATACTGCCTTTTCATATCTGTGTGGTAGATCCAACCCTTGACCCCCTGAACACCCAGGGAAAACCTACCTGTTAGAGCAGGTGATCTCATACTGCCTTTCCATGTCTGTGTGGTAGATCCAACCCTTGACCCCCTGAACACCCAGGGAAAACCTACCTGTTAGAGCAGGTGATCTCATACTGCCTTTCCATGTCTGTGTGGTAGATCCAACCCTTGACCCCCTGAACACCCAGGGAAAACCTACCTGTTAGAGCAGGTGATCTCATACTGCCTTTCCATGTCTGTGTGGTAGATCCAACCCTTGACCCCCTGAACACCCAGGGAAAACCTACCTGTTAGAGCAGGTGATCTCATACTGCCTTTCCATGTCTATGCAGGGAATCGTCTAAGGTGAGCGTGTTACCATCTGACCATAAACTAACTGATTAACTTCAACTAGTTGTCACATTTTCTCACCTGTTTATGGTGATCCAAGTTTGCCTTGTATTTGTAGAGCCAGTGTGCTAAGTATTCTATTGGATCATTTGGTCGACATGTGGCTATTTCTGACAGCGCCAAGGTTAGCGCACCTCCTAGGTGCTCAGCAGCATATTTCCCATCAATGGTGTTGGGGGGTGGAGCTGTGATGTTGGGACCCATTGTGGGGGCCACAAATGGTTTCTGTACAGACACAGGATTGGTGGAAGTTTGCTGTTCCTGTTGCATGCTGGGAAATACAAATAATGATATTCTATTAGATAATTGTTTATACATGTACTGTATGTGTTTTGTATTTGTTCTAGTTATCTTCTATTTGCTGTCTAAAAATACCAGTCAAGAACTGCTGATTACACTCCTCAGTCCTAAGCCAAATTCCTGTTCAGATTGTAAATTACAAGTTGTTATTTCTTTGAGGTCAAGAGTTGTTGAGGAAATAACATTTAGTATACCTGTAGCTAGAATATCAATACAGCTGGCAGGCAGATTTTCACTGAATATCAAGGCATAAAAAATTCATAAGCTGGAGAGTTCGGTGGTATAGACATTGATAATGATTTTCCTTTTTATACACAAAGATAATTCAAATCTGCATTTTGTGATCTTTTGAAAAGAATGTCAGTGTCCATACATAAGCATTTTGTTTTTAACATAATATTTTCAAAAAAAACTATAATTATAATATAACTGGGTATATTAATGACACCAACCAGATGAATATCATGCCAGTAAAGGAAAGATGTACCAACCACTTGTACATATAACCTATAACAGACTATTTCCTACTTGATATTTTCACTTTTCTACACCTCATTTCAGGCAGCTCCCCCATGACTACCTGTACAATAGTAATGAATCAATACTCAGCCAGGGAGCTATACAACACAATGTAGATTTTTGCTTTGCAGTAATATATATTGTAAAGCTCATTTAAACAATACTCAGCCAGGGAGCTATACAACACAATATAGATTTTGGCTTTGCAGTAATATATATTGTAAAGCTCATTTAAACAGCTCCTCACATAAAGGAAAATCAAATTAAAAAATGAAAGTTTCAGAGGTGAATGTGTATGGAGATAATTGATTTAAAAGTCAATAGAAAATGTTTGCTGTAATTACGGGGGTATAAACTGTGATATCCTGTCTAGACTGGCACACTGTTGATATAGGACAATTTGGTCTGGTAAATTGGTTTGCCTGAAGCTCTAATAATGGAGAATCAATGGTTCCATTCAGGGGGCTAGCCTGTCTTGTATAGCATGGGAACATGTTTATAAATGTTTACTGCATTGTAGTGTCACTGTTAATCAATATTGGAAGTTTTTAGCTGTTTTAATTTGTGATATTGCTGGAAAATTTTCTTAAACTACTACTAGCCTTTTTAGGGAGCGATGATTTTTTCATTCTGATAGCTATATCGGTGACCTTGGTGCTAATTCACCTCCAATACAAAAAGTAAATTGTGACCAGTATAAACCTTCAGTAACACTGGTTAATACATGAATCTGTGTTTTGAACTCTGTGACTCTCAGTTTTTGTATATTTGTATGCTAATTGCCCAACCCAACTTGTCTTCAATATGTAATTTTGTACTTAGGTATAATCCAACTTGTATGTAGTTCATGTTATACCTACATTTAATTATACAATACCTGTATAATCCAACTTGTATGTAGGTCATGTTATACCTACATTTAATTATACAATACCTGTATAATCCAACTTGTATGTAGTTCATGTTATACCTACATTTAAGTATACAATACCTGTATAATTCAATGTGTATGTAGTTCATGTTATACCTACATTTAAGTATACAATACCTGTATAATTCAATGTGTATGTAGTTCATGTTATACCTACATTTAAGTATACAATACCTGTATAATTCAATGTGTATGTAGTTCATTTTGTACCTATATTTTATAGATTTATATTATCATTCCTTACAATAATATATAGCCTAGCTATCATCATCATCATCATGAATCATAATTATTTAGAGAAATATACAAATAATTATATATGGCCATGCGTTTTGTCTGACTTATCAGTGTAGTTTTCACACAAACATTGACTGCGAAGTTTGATAATTTGTAATGTCATAACTGATTATATGTACAACATTGTTAACTGTAACTAATGGTCCACTTACCTGTTAAGACGGTAACACAGTCTACCTTATATTAAACACAAGCTGATATCTCTTAAGTAAGCCTGTCCAATCACATTTCTGTCGTATGTTAGCAGGTCATGCTCGTCCTGACCGTCGCTAGGCATACTGTTTACGTTGGTGACAGTGTTGCCGTTGAAGCGTGACTAGAGAGTAAGAGTGATTTGTGGTGTCATTGATAGGTTCCAGGTCAGCTATGTACTCCGCTAGACATGTTATTGAGGTGTTAATATTAGAAATGTATGCATACCCTCCACTTCAATAACATCAGATGTGATTAAAGAGTATAGTATTATGTATATGTGTTAGATTTAGAGATGAATATGACATGTGGATTTCAAGGATAACAAGGCTTTCAATTGATGAGAACTTTTCCGGGTGTTTTTCAATAGAATTGAAGGTGTAGTGTTAGTATTGACGGTAGTCTCAGGTGGTAGATGTCTTTAGAACTTCAAATATTGTGTTGAGTGCCTTTAAATTATGTTTACTTTTGTACAAGATATAAATAGTGTGACTAAAAATATGCCATTTCCTACATAATAATTGTATATTTCTTACATGTTGGTACTAGTCCATGTAAGAGGAAAGATGGATTTTTAAGAAGATACAGGTTCCTAAGGCCACTGTTGGCAGCTCTTCAGGATCATCTTACATAGTTCTTTTTTAATAGATTAATGTACACTTATTTTTATGAAGAATTTCAAATGCCAGCTGCAGTCTCAACAAACAATTACAGGTCTTTTCTTCAGTTTGCTATAGTAAAGCAGTAAAGAGTATGATTGTGTAATTACAATCTGTGTTTCATCTTTCATTTGCCTGTATCTTAAAATATTATTGTAAAATCTACATTCTAAGCCCACCATTAGTTATGGAATAACTTTTCACCTATGATCTAGGATCTGTCCATTTGTCTGTGCTGTATACAACTTCAGTTTCAGGTATTTTTTAAGAATTAGATAGTTGATCTTCTTGAAACTTAAAAACGTGTAAAATACGATTCCAGGTCACACATTTACACACTTCAGGTGCTAGGTACATTGTATTTCATTAGAAAGGCATTAGAATGAAAGAAAAAAATTGTAGGAAGAAGGTAAATGATTAGTATTTCAAGTTTTTGTCACCTCTCAATGTGAACGGTTTAGCCAGTAATTGAAATCCATTTCTTGCTCTTTATATTTGCAGGTTACCATGACACGAGTGCCTACCCTCCCCCATCATTCTACAACCCAATTCCATGGCACCACAATCCAGTCCCGAGACAGAGAACAGAGAAGAACAAAACAAAGACAAAACCAAGCAAAACAAAAAACTATGTGTGGAATCCTAGCAAGTATCTCTGAGAAGGATATAGCAGACATAGCAGTTATATCAGATACAGCAGATACGGCAGATATATCAGATACAACAGATACAGCAGATACAGCAGATATAACAGATACAGCAGATACAGCAGATATATCAGATACAGCAGATCCAGCAGATATAGCATATATGTCAGATACAACAGATATAGCAGATACAACAGATATAGCAGATATAGCAGATACAACAGATATATCAGATACAACAGATATAGCAGATATAACAGATACAACAGATATAGCAGATACAACAGATATATCAGATATAACAGATATAGCAGATATAACAGATACAACAGATATAGCAGATACAACAGATATATCAGAAACAACATATATAACAGATACAACAGATATATCAGATACAGCAGATATAGCAGATATAACAGATATAACAGATATAGCAGATACAACAGATATATCAGATATAACAGATATAGCAGATATAACAGATACAACAGATATAGCAGATACAACAGATATATCAGATACAACAGATATAGCAGATATAACAGATATATAGTAGATATAACAGATATAACAGATATAACAGATACAACATATAACAGATATAGCAGATATAACAGATACAACAGATATAGCAGATACAACAGATATATTAGATACAACAGATATAACAGATACAACAGATATAGCAGATACAACAGATATAGCAGATATAGCAGATGTATCAGATATATCAGATACAGCAGATATAGCAGATATAACAGATACAACAGATATAGCAGATACAACAGATATATCAGATACAACAGATATAGCAGATATAACAGATATAGCAGATATAACAGATACAACAGGTTTATCAGATACAACAGATATAGCAGATATAACAGATACAACAGATATAGCAGATATAACAGATATTGCAGATATAACAGATACAACTGATATAGCAGATATAACAGATATAGCAGATATAACAGATACAACAGATATAGCAGATATAACAGATACAACAGATACAACAGATATAGCAGATACAACAGATATAACAGATATAGCAGATACAACAGATATATCAGATACAACAGATATAGCAGATATAACAGATATAGCAGATATAACAGATACAACAGATATAGCAGATACAACATATATAGCAGATACAGCAGATGCAGCAGCTAAAACAGATATAGCAGAAACAGCAGCTACAACAGATATAGCAGGTACAGCAGAAACAACAGATATAACAGATACAGCAGATACAACAGGTAAAGCAGATACAACATATATAACAGATACAGCAGATACAGCAGCTACAATAGATACAGCAGATACAACAGATACATCAGATATAGCAGTTATATCAGATAAAGCAGATACATCAGATACATCAGATACAGCAGATATATCAGATACAACAGAGACATCAGATATAACAGATATATCAGATATAACAGATACAACAGATATAGCAGATACAACAGATACATCAGATATATCAGATATAACAGATACAACAGATACATCAGATACAACAGATACATCAGATACAACAGATACAACAGATATATCAGATACAACAGATACAACAGATACATCAGATATATCAGATACAACAGAGACAACAGACACATCAGATATATCAGATACAACAGATACAACAGATACATCAGATACAACAGATACATCAGATATATCAGATATAGCAGATATAACAGATACAACAGATACAACAGATATAACAGATACAACAGATACAACAGATATAGCAGATACAACAGATATAACAGATATAGCAGATACAACAGATATATCAGATACAACAGATATAGCAGATATAACAGATATAGCAGATATAACAGATATAACAGATATAGCAGATATAACAGATACAACAGATATAGCAGATACAACATATATAGCAGATACAGCAGATGCAGCAGCTAAAACAGATATAGCAGAAACAGCAGCTACAACAGATATAGCAGGTACAGCAGAAACAACAGATATAACAGATACAGCAGATACAACAGGTAAAGCAGATACAACATATATAACAGATACAGCAGATACAGCAGCTACAATAGATACAGCAGATACAACAGATACATCAGATATAGCAGTTATATCAGATACAGCAGATACATCAGATACAGCAGATATAGCAGTTATATCAGATACAGCAGATACAACAGATACATCAGATACATCAGATACATCAGATATATCAGATATAACAGATACAACAGATATAGCAGATACAACAGAGACATCAGATATAACAGATACAACAGATACAACAGATACAGCAGATACAGCAGCTACAACAGATACAACAGATACAGCAGATACATCAGATACAACAGATACATCAGATACAACAGATACATCAGATACACCAGATACAACAGATACACCAGATACATCAGATACAACAGATACAACAGATACATCAGATACAACAGATACAACAGATACATCAGATACAACAGATATATCAGATACAACAGATACATCAGATACACCAGATACAACAGATACATCAGATACATCAGATACAACAGAGACATCAGATATAACAGATACATCAGTTATATCAGATACAGTAGATACAACAGATACAACAGATACAACAGATACATCAGATACAACAGATACAACAGATACATCAGATACAACAGATACATCAGATACAACAGATATATCAGATACAACAGATACATCAGATACACCAGATACAACAGATACATCAGATACAACAGATACAACAGATACATCAGATACAACAGACACAACAGATACAACAGATACATCAGATACAACAGATACAACAGATACAACAGATATATCAGATACATCAGATACAACAGATACATCAGATACATCAGATACAACAGATACAACAGATACATCAGATACAACAGATACAGCAGATACATCAGATACAACAGATACATCAGATACATCAGATACAACAGATACATCAGATACAACAGATACATCAGATACAACAGATACAACAAATACAACAGATACATCAGATACATCAGATACAACAGATACATCAGATACACCAGATACAACAGATACAACAGATACATCAGATATATCAGATATAGCAGATACAACAGATACAACAGATACATCAGATACAACAGATACAACAGATACATCAGATATATCAGATACAACAGATACAACAGATACATCAGATATATCAGATATAACAGATACAACAGATACATAAGATATATCAGATACAACAGATACAACAGATATATCAGATACAACAGATACATCAGATACAACAGATACAACAGATATATCAGATACAACAGAAACATCAGATACATCAGATACAACAGATACAACAGATACAACAGATACAACAGATACATCAGATACAACAGATACAACAGATACATCAGATACAACAGATACAACAGATACATCAGATACAACAGATACAACAGATACATCAGATACAACAGACACTTCAGATATATCAGATATAGCAGATACAACAGATATATCAGATACAACAGATACATCAGATATATCAGATATAGCAGATATAACAGATACAACAGACACATCAGGTATATCAGATACAACAGATACATCAGATACAACAGATACATCAGATATATCAGATACAACAGATACATCAGATACAACAGATACATCAGATATAGCAGATATAGCAGATATAACAGATACAACAGATACATCAGATATATCAGATACATCAGATATATCAGATATAGCAGATATAACAGATACATCAGATATATCAGATACATCAGATATATCAGATATAGCAGATATAACAGATACATCAGATATATCAGATATAGCAGATATAACAGATACAACAGATATAGCAGTTGTTTTGTTCATTATCAATATCTGTCAAATTGAGCAGTTTTAGATTTTCTCTCATCTGTTTATATCTGTTTATCTTAGGATTTTGATAGAGAGCTCTGTTTGCTTTCTTTATTTGAGTAGAGAATATGGCAAAATATCTGGCTAAAATCTTAGACAAGAAAAATAACATTTTAATTACCTCTCCCTTGTAAGATACAATAAAATTTACATTTACTAAATAAAAGAACTTGTGTCAATTTTAAAATGTCCTGTATTCAATCGTTAAAACAAAATATGTTAAATTTGGAAGTAAGCTTTTTAGTGATTTTAACCAAGCTTATTGTTTTAACTTACAGAAATGATGATGCAGTTATTTTCTGTCACTTCATGATGACCTATGGCGATTACCTTTTGTCCGGTGTCATGCGTCCATAAACCTTAACATTTTTGACTTCTCAAAAACTCCTGAGCTGATTTCAATAAAATTTTGCAGAAACCTTTTTCTGGCTAAAGATTGACCAAAACAGTGAATAATATGGTCCCCACCGAATAGGGGCCTGAGGGGCGGGGCCAAAAGGTGTTAAATTAACTCCAATTTCTTCTGAACATCCAGATATGGAAGAATCAAATGCTCTTTATGGATGGAAGCATCCTAAGGTGCTTTACCAAAATTGTGAATTTGATGGCCCCAGGGTCTCACATGTCCCCATGGGAATGGGTAACATTTACTATAGTTTATATAGGAAAATTAGATATTTGAGTTTAATTTTTGTTATTCCATTGGAAATATTTCAAACTTGGTTAGAATTATTAGCAAAGGATGACAGCTTGGTGGCTTGCACATATTGATCCTGGCTGACCCCAAGGGACAGACAGGCAGGGCCAAAAGGAGTCAGTCAAACGGACTCTGCCTAGGTAATTCCAAAAATGTTCTTTCCAATACCTCAGCTATGGTAGACTGAAATGCTTTACCAAGCTTGTGAATTTCATGACCCTAGGATCTCACATTTGTTCCCAAATAGGACTGAAGTTTACTATGCTTTTTTTTATAGGAAAATTGCATTTTTGAAATAAGGTTGTTGATTTTTATTGCAAATGATTCATTTAGAATTATTGGTAGATATAATATGGCAATTTTGAAGGTA